CAATTGGTTGCCAAGGCACAACTGCCCTGGCTGCCCATTGCTTTCCAGGACAAATAAAAGTGCTGGTTTTGAACTATAAAGTCTTCAGTTGCTCAAGACCACAATGCCATAAGGACTGCCTCTCCCCAAATGTACTGACCCAGACCGTGTGCTCATCATCTGAGGCCCTTCTTCCTGTGCCTGCTCCACAAGAGGTCCAGAAGGTGGCAACATGAGAACAGGCCTCATCTGTCGTGATTCTCTATTTGTGGAGTGCTCTCCCCAGGGTGGCTTACCTGGTACCGTCATTATATATCTTTAGGCACCACACAAATTCTTTCCTACATAACCAGGTCATGCAATATTTGGCTAAATTCTCTAAGCCCTTATTCTTAGAGTATAAGTTGCACAAGTCTGATCAAGATTTGTTTTAGGTTCATGGGTTTCAAGATGACTTGTTCTAAATAATTCAGGTTTGTGGCAACATGTGTATATATATATGGAGATATTGCTTCAGAGTGCAAGGGTTTTGGGTTTTAGGAAAGAGAGAGTGTATATATGTTTAAAAGATAGAGAGGTCCAAAGAACATTGAGATAGAACAAATTTACCTAGAAAAAAAATCATAAACACCGAAACAACCAAATATGCATTGGTTTTGGAGACTACAGCAAAACACACCCACACATTCATCCAGCCTTTCGTCTTATATGCTGCTCCTTATCGTTCAATTCAGGCCTTAAAACAATGATATAACATTTAGGGGAAAGGATGCACCCCAGCACACCAGCACTGGAGGCTAAGATAGAAAAGATCTCCACAGCTACCATATATTTTCCTTTAGTGCTGAAGTAGGAGGGAATAAAGGATAACCAAACACTGCAAAAGACCAACATGCTGAAAGTGATGAATTTGGCTTCATTGAAACTGTCGGGCAACGTCCTGGCAAGGAAAGCCACACTGAAACGGGCAATAGCCAGAAAGCTCATGTAACCCAGGACACAGTAAAACATAGTTACAGAACCCTCATTGCATTCTAGAACAATTTCTCCGTAAATAGAGTGCTTATTGACATCTGGGAATGGGGGAGAAAATGCCAACCACATAATACAAATGGTTGCTTGAATAAAGGAGCAGGAAATCACAATGGAGTTGGCCGGCCTGTTCCCCACCCATTTCCTCATCCTGGATCCTGGTTTGGTGGCCATGAAAGCCAGAATCACAGTGATCGTTTTTGCCAGCACACAAGAAACAGCCACTGAGAAGATGATGCCAAAAACAGGTTGTCGCAGAAGACATGTCACCTTCTGAGGCTGTCCAATGAATAGCAATGCACAAAGGAAGCAGAGCAGGAGGGACAGGAGGAGAATGTAGGTGAGATCCCGGTTGTTGGCTTTGACAATGGGAGTGTTGTGGTGCTTCAGAAATGTCCCTAGCACCAGAGCTGTGATGATTGAAGAGGAAAGCGAAAAAGAGGCTAAACTGATCCCCAAAGGTTCTTCATAAGACAAGAAGCTGATTTCCTTCAGAATACATAAATCCTGTTTATTGTTGGGATAATATTCATCTGGACATTTAAAACAGTCATTCATATCTGAAGAAGAAGCAATGAGTTATGAGGTTTATATTGGTGTCCCAAACCATACAATCCATGCTAATCTTGCATAGATTAAAGTTTATGTAGTCCTGTCATCCCAAGAGCCTCTAAGCAATGATTTATCTATGAGATTTGGGCATTTTTGAATATATACAACAAAACCTCAAATGTAGGGCTTTACCAAGGACAATGTTACACCAGGTGCTGATTTTCCTCTGCCAAGGCAGTTTATCATGGATGTTCAAGACATTTCATTAAATCATTCTGCTCATTTTTGTTTTGCTTTACTCTTTATACCATAAAAATAATAATCTTAATCTAAGGTGAATTAAAATTTCAACTTTCTTCTCAACTAATGTACATTGTGCTCTCTCCTGATGTCACACCTCTATCTCTCTCCCTCCAGCAGCTGGAGGAGAAAAGGACAGAGGGTGAAGAAGCCATGAAGGCTGCTCCCTGCAAGGCCCTTTCCACCTTGCCTAGGAGGTGGGGTCCACATTCACCCAGCCCTACAATGTTAAATATATATTCTGTAGTTGACCTCCTTTGAAATGTTTTCTTTGAAATCATTAAGATAATATTTTAGTTTTCTGTTATATTTCTTTGACTTCATACTCTATATTTGACTTTCTTCAGATTGTTTTATTTATGTTTTATTGATTCAATAAGCTGTAAAGCGTTTTGAGATTTTTCTTAAATATATAAAGCGGTACAGAAAAAAGAAAAGAAAGAGGCATCTGGGTATGGGTGGGTGTACAGATTCATTCATTCAATCAATCAATCAATCAATCAATGAATGGGGTGTGAGTGAAGAGGTGTCCTTATCTCACCCTTTGAACCACCTGGAAACTCAACAAACCTGTTGCTCCTAGAACTGGGTGTGCAGCTGAATGGGACACAGGGGAGGGCAGCCTGAGGAAGAACCAACTCCCCTCTGCCTGCCCATAAGAAACAAGAGACTAGGATGATGTCCACTGTTTCCAGGAACTCTTCTCATTGCTAGAATTTTAGTTGAGCTGACAGTTTGTATGGATCCTAGGTGAGAACCCAAAGGCTGAGAGGCAGGGTATATCAGAAGGAAAAAGTGTGTGTGTGTAAATGTAACATTTTTATATGCAACTGTGTATTTTATATAAACAAAGTTCCTAGAAGCCAAACCCCTTGTTCTCCTATTACGAGACTATAGGATTGGGGAAGGTGAATATCAACCACAGGGGCCATAATCTTGCAAGCCCATCTCAACTTCCCTATAGTTGAGGTGATAAACTATTAGCCACACTGCATTTGTGGATCTGAATGAGACTTCAAGGAGGAGATTGTTTATAAACACAGAAACGCAAAAAAGGAAGACAGGTAACACCAACCCCTCTTTTTGCCTGTTCTGACGTCACGGGATGAAGATGAGGCAAAGAGGCCGTGGACCGATTACCAGTGGCTCACATTCAAGACAAGGTCAAATTATTCCACCAAGGAAACCAGGTTGGATTTTTGCATCTTCAACAAGGCCCTCTGCATCACTCAGATTTACCATTCCCCCCAAAAAAAGAATAAAACCTGTAACCATATTGTATGCATATATTTATGCTCATTCCCCTTCCTCTGAATTACTGGCCATCTGCTTCCTATTTCTGTATGTGATATTGCTTACCCATCTGGTCTGAAATCTTCTCTTCTGGACAGGGAGTGCAATCGTAGCAACAAAATGGCCCCCCCTCCTTCATTTTCTTGCTTGAACCAGGGCTGCAATTCTCACTGCATACAGAAATAGGCCTTGCCTAATCCATGAAACAAAGGAAAATATAGAGCTGGGAATCTTTATGGTTCCAGTAGAGAAGACCCCTATTACTGGCAAAGTGGGCAGAGACCTGACAGGATTCCAACTCTCTCCCCAATCACCAAGGATGTTTCAGGCCTTCTCCTGTCACCCACAATCATATGAATACATTTTCTGTAACTGAGAGGTTTCTAAAGCTTCAGCTCTAACACCCAGTAATAAAAACCATGAGCAGAAGATTCCAACCTGGTCTGCAGAGAGGGAAGACAGGAGCAGTCTCAAAGGCACACAAATGAACAAAAAAGCAATTGCAGGGTAGGCTTTTGACTGTCCACCATAAGCAAATCAGAACCATGCATTCTTCATATGATCGTTGCTCTTTGCAAATTTGCATAGATCATCCCATCCCTAGCTTGTGTTTCCCTCTCTATCTCTCTGCATGTGTGTGTGTGTGTGTGTATGTGTGTGTGTGTGTGAGAGAGAGAGATTTTGTTTCCTTTTTTAACCAAAAGGTACAGGACAGGAGAAGAATTCTGAATTGGTTTCTTGTTTGAGAAGGAAAGAAGTAAAAAGAAATGCTTCTAATTGCCTTTTTCATTGGGCATTTGGAAGATGATAGAGTTTGTGTTCTAAATAGTGACGTTCTGGTTTGATAGAGGCAAGCAAGAAATAATGTTTTCCACTTGATGGAAAGGTTGGGAACAAAAGAGGAGATTCTACCTGGTTTTCTCACTTCCTTCATTTTTATAGAGCTGGTTTCAACCACACTGCCGAGGATTATTTCATAAATAAAATGAATAAAGGTTACATATACAGGGTACCTCGGGTTATGAACTTAATTCGTTCTGGACGTCCGTTCTTAACCTGTGGTGTGCTTTCTCTAATGGGGCCTCCCATTGACGCTGCGAAGCACATGATTTCCGTTCTCATCCTGGGGCAAAGTTTGTAACCCGAGGTACTACTTCCGGATAAGCGGAGTTTGTAGCCCGAGGCGTTTCTAACCCGAGGTGTTTGTAACTCAAGGTACTACTGTACTTTGGTCTTATTGATGGAATTTTGAATGTTTTGAATGAAAACGATCTTAAATGATATTAAAAGATGCAGTGCTCTGAACTGACACGATGAAATCAATGTGCATGACAAACTTTGGATCTCAACCAAATATCATCATTTGACATATATTCAAAGCAAAAGATGAATATATTTAGTTCATCTAACAATTTCTCAAAAAAATTAAAATTATAAAAAAATAATTATCTGTAACACTACCGTGGTGAATAAGTTCATGAAGTGTAATTTCCCTGACCAATAGGACTGAGCAATGGGAGCTCACCCTATCGCATGGATTCGAACTGCTGACCTTCCGATCGGCAAGCCGTAGGCTCAGTGGTTTAGACCACAGTGCATTTGACTTAAAAAGTTTTTGACAACTAAAAAATAAAGTCTCTGATGAGAGGGATAGAATATAAGTATGTGATCAAATATTTGTGGATGCAATCTAGGGTACTGTACAAAATCGCTTCTTTTTTTTAAATAAATCCATGCGCCACCTTTTATGTGTTTAAAACATTTTTAAAACTCTGGAACATATAAAAGAAAAAGAAAAAAATCCATTACATATCACTAAAATTCATTTCCATGGTAAGATGGACCACAACAGATTTCAAAATTAATAGATATGAAGTTAGGCTATGCAAGTTTATATAAGCCAGTGAAAGAAATTTATCTTTATTATGTTATATTATCTTGTTATTGGGAACAAGGAACATATCCTTAATTGCATTATTTATATTTTTCTTTGCTGAAAATCAGTATGCCACAGCTTTCAGTATTCAGAGAAAGAAACTCAGAAAAACAGAAAGAGATAAAGAGCAACTCCTTACGCAAGCTCTTCAGGCAATGCCTGTGGGGGTTCTTTAGTGAAGGCTAATGCACTGGAAACGATGAAGCTGTGAGAAGCTAAGCCACCAAGAATGAGGTCTCCTGACCGGTGATACTTGTGAAGTGGAGGGTGTGGATCATGGACATGACACTTCACCATGTGAGTCTTGCATGTCCTCTCAGGAAGCAGTGTCAGCAGCAAAATAGCAAATGTCGCCATCCTGAGTGTGAAGGCAAATATTCACTTGAGAAACATGATATTCTTTTCACTGAAAATTCCCTTATTTGAATGTCACCAGCTGATTTAAATGCTCATTCAGTTTTCAAGTAGGCCAGAACCCTGAAGTATAAACACCACTATACCCTAGCAGTAGTTATAAATTCTAATGGGTATATTGACTAAACAGTAACTTTCAATTTCTTTCCGATTCAAATTCCACAGGCGGTTCAACATGCAACATAATTCATAATAGTAATTGCTGTAATAACAGAGGGAAATAATTACAAAGTCAAGGTTGGGGTTCCTCTGTGTAATTGCAGAAGGAAACTAGTTTGTTATATCTGAAGATTTCCTCTTTCCTTCCACCTACTTGAGTATCAAAGGATGCTTTGGCTTGGATGAGTACTTGGAAGGTAACTTTTAGGTGAGATCACAGCAATGTGTTATACAAGGGTCTGCCTCCGAAGATTGTTTGGAAACTACAGCTAGTGTAGAATTCAGTGGCCAGGTTGCTCACCGGTGCAAGAATCTTTGAGCATATAACAACAATAATGGTACAACTGCCACACTACCTATTAGTTTCCAGGCCAAATAAAAGTGCTGGTTTTGTCCAATAAAGCCTTCAGTTGTTCAGGACCACAATGCCACAAGGACTGCCTCTCCCCAAATGAACTGACGCAGACCATGTGCTCATCATATGAGGCCCTTCTTCCTGTGCCTGCTCCACAAGAGGTCCAGAAGGTGGCAACATGAGAACAGGCCTTTTCTGCAGTGGTTCCCAGATTGTGGAGTGCTTTCCTCATGGTGGCTCACCTGCTACCATCATTAAAAATTTAGGCACCAGGCAAAATCTGTCCAGGCCATGCACATTCATTATTTGGCTAAATTCTCTGAATCCTTACTCTTAGAGTTTAAGTTACACAATTCTGCTCAACTCTGTGTTATAGGTTCATGGCTTGCAAGATGACTTGCTCTAAATAATTCAAGTATATGGCCACATGTATATACATAAGGAGATCTTGCTACAGAGTGCAAGGGTTTTGTTTTTTTAGGAAAGAGAGTGTGTATATATGTTTAAAAGATAGAGAGGTCCAAAGAAAATTGAAATAGAACATATTAACCTAGAAAAAAATCATAAATACCCAAACAACCAAATATCCATTGATTGTACAGACTAGAGCAAGACCCACCCGCACATTCATCCAGCCTTTCGTCTTATAAGCTGTTCCTTATCGTTCAGTTCAGGCCTTAAAACAATGATATAACATTTAGGGGAAAAGATGCACCCCAGCACCCCAGCACTGGAGGCTAGGATAGAAAAGATCTCCACAGCTACCATATATTTTCCTTTAGTGCTCAGGTAGGAGGGAATAAAGGATAACCAAACACTGCAAAAGACCAACATGCTGAAAGTGATGAACTTGGCTTCATTGAAACTGTCAGGCAACTTCCTAGCAAGGAAAGCCACACTGAAACTGGCCACAGCCAGAAAGCCCATGTAACCCAGGACACAGTAAAACATAGTTACAGAACCCTCATTGCATTCTAGAACAATTTCTCCATAAGTTGAGTGCTTATCGACATCTGGGAATGGGGGAGAAAATGCCAACCACATAATACAAATGGTTGCTTGAATAAAGGAGCAGGAAATCACAATGGAGTTGGCCAGCCTCTTCCCCACCCATTTCCTCATCCTGGATCCTGGTTTGGTGGCCATGAAAGCCAGAATCACAGTGATCGTTTTTGCCAGCACACAAGAAACAGCCACTGAGAAGATGATGCCAAAAACAGGTTGTCGCAGAAGACATGTCACCTTCTGAGGCTGTCCAATGAATAGCAATGCACAAAGGAAGCAGAGCAGGAGGGAGAGGAGGAGCATGTAGGTGAGATCCCGGTTGTTGGCTTTGACAATGGGAGTGTTGTGGTGCTTCAGAAACGTCCCTAGCACCAGAGCTGTGATGATTGAAGAGGAAAGCGAAAAAGAGGCTAAACTGATCCCCAAAGGTTCTTCATAAGACAAGAAGCTTATTTCCTTCAGAATACATAAATCCTGTTTTTTGTTGGGATAGTATTCATCTGGACATTTAAAACAGTCATTCATATCTGAAGAAGAAGCAATGAGTTATGAGGTTTATATTGGTGTCCCAAACAATACAATCCACGCTAATCTTGCATAGATTAAAGTTTACGTAGTCCTGTCATCCCAACAGACTCTAAGCAATGATTTATCTTCGAGATTTGGGCATTTTTGAATATATACAACAAAACCTCAAATGTAGTGCATTACCAAATAAAATGTTACACCAGGTCCTGATTTTCCTCTGCCAAGGAAGTTTATCATAAATGTTCCATGACATTTCATTAAAGCGTTCTGCTGTTTTTGTTTTGTTTTACTCTCTATGCTGTTTTCATTTTTTTTTTATTAATCTAGGATGAATTAAAATGTATACTTTCTTCTCAACTAGTACATTGTGCTCGCTTCTCATGTCACACTTCTCTCTCTCTCTCTCTCTCTCTCTGTAGCAACTGGAGGAGAAAAGGACAGAGGTGAAGAGAGAGACCTCTGGTATAGGGCGGTATACAAATTCAATAATAATACAAAAGGGGGGGCTGTGAGTGAGGGGATCCCATCCCCATTCTTTGGACCACCTGAGAAACTCAAAAAACCTGCTGCTCCTGGAACTGGTTGTGGAGAGTGCAACTGAATGGGACATAGTTGTGGGCAGCCTGAGGAAGTACCATCCCGCTTGTGCCTGCTCATAAGAAACAAGAGACTAGGGTGATGCCCACTGTTTCCAGGAACTCTTCTCATTGCAAGACTTTTGTGGGTGAGCTGAGAGTTTGTTTGGACCCTACATGAGGACCCAGAGGCTGGGAGACGGAGTGTGTCAGAAGGGAAATGAATATGTATATTTCATATTTTTATATGCAACTGTATTTTATATAAACAAAATTTCCAGAAGCCAACCCTCTTGTTTGCCAATAATGAGACAACAGGATTTTGGAAGATAAATATGAACCACAGAGGCCATAATCTTCCAAGCCTATCCCAACTTCCCTATTGTTGATTCGATAAATAACTAGCCACACTGCATTTGTGGACCTGAATGAGACTTCAAGGAGGAGATTGCTCATAAACACAGAAACTCATACAAGGATGTCAGATGAGACCAACCCCTCTCTTTACCTGTTCTGAGGTCTTGGGATGAAGTTTAGGCAAGGAGGCCATGGGCGACCAGCTCACATTCGAAACAAGGTCAAATGATTCCACCAAGAAAACCATATTGGATTTTTGCATCTCCAACAAGGCCCTCTGACTCAGACTTACCATAATCACTTTGTGTTCCTGATTTTAGAGGACTATTTCTTTACATATAGCCAATCATATTAAGAAAACTCTGGGTCTTACCCTCATATGAAATCTTCCCTGCTGGGCATAAGATGCAATCATAACAGCAAAATGGCTCCCCTTCCTTCACTTTCTTGCTAAAACCTGGCTTGCAAGTCTCAGTGCATAGGGAAAGAGGTCGTGTCTAATCCACAAATGAAAGAGGACAACAATATATTTTAATATTATTACCTTGGAAGTTCTGAGGTTGTAGGGCAGAGGTGGCCCAGATCTTTGTTTACCAAAAAAGAAGCCAAATTTAATAGGTAGGTTGGATCCAGTTACATCTCTACATGTCCCACATATGATATATATGATATGAGGTCTGCAACAAATGGGCATGCTCTGAACAAAACACAGTTCAAAACAATTTGCCTCAGGGGCAAATTGGGGAGGGTTTCTAGGCCACATTTGGTTTCCCATCCCTGCACAAGAGATTTTGAGAGGTGGGCAGTGGAGCTGTCCAACTATCATGTTATATCCTAATGATGTCATATGATTAAGAGGTGGGCAGCCCTACCCAACTGAAAAAATAGACCTGTGACACCAAGCCTAATAAAATATAAAATATCGAATTTCCAAAATCGTAATGCCATTACACACATCTATGGTGCAACCACAGTTGGAATACTGTGTACAGTTCAGATCACCTCAAAAAGGACATTGTAGAGTTGGGGAAAGTTCGGAAAAAGGGAACCAATACAATCAAGTGGATGGGGTGACTCCCTTACAAAGAAAGGTTGCAGGTTTGGGACTTCTTTAATTTAAATGAAAAATGAATGAGAGGTGACTTGGTAGAAATTTACAAAGTTAAGCTTGGCATAGGGGAGGTGGATAGAGAAAAGTGTTTCTCCCTCTCTCATAACACTGGAACTCATAGACATCTGATGATGATTCAGGACATTCAGAAAGTACTACTTCAGTCACCTCATATTTAAATAAATTTCAAGTATTCTGCTTTTTTGAGGTGCACCTTTTCCCTTGTTCTCTTGCTTGCATCTTCTTAACTGAGATGGCCATCGGCCATGTTTAATTATTCAAAATGTTTTTCCCTCCTACTCTATAGATCTAGAAAAGCTATAGTCATTGTCCTACTGTGTATATATGTATATATGTATATATGTATACATATATCTATATCTATATAGATGAAAGATAGATAGATATAATTATGTTGATCTGTCTATGGCTTTTTATAGATTGTGTGTATTAGATTATTAGATATCTATTTACCACTGCATTTTCTCCTGACAGGCATCAAGGCAGCTTCCATATAAAAACAAGTTTTTGTAAAAAAAATAAATAGAAAAAAACAATTTAATAGAATTAAAACCATATACACATATAAAATCTGTTTAGAACATACAAATGACTACAATAAAAACAGCACAGCGCCAACCCTTTCATTAAAAACAATCAATTCCCCAAAGTCTGTTAGAACAAGATGTTCTTCCTCTCAGCAGAAGGACAAAAAGGAGGGACCCAGTCTAGTTTCTTCAGGAAGTTCGTTTCAGAGTCTGGGAGCAGCCACTGAGAAGGTCCTTTCCTGCATCCCCACAAAACTTCCTGTAAGAGGGGTTGGACTGAGAGAAGGGCCCTTGAGGAGCTCAAAACCTGGGCAGCTTTGTATGAGGAAATATGGTCTAAGCTTTGTAGGGCTTTATAGGCCATAACCAGCACTTTGAATTGTGCCTGGAGACAGAATGGTGGTAGCCAGTGGAGGTGCTGTAACAACAGAGGCATATATTCCCTATAACCAGCCCCACTCAAAAATCTGACTGCAGCTGTTTGAGCCTGTTGATGCTTCTGAGCAACATTTGGGAAAGAGGGTGGCACTGTGGTCTAAACCACTGAGCCTCTTGGGCTTGCCGATCAGAATGTTGGCGGTTCGAATCTCCACCACAGGGTGAGCTCCCGTTGCTCAGTCCCAGCTCCCGCCAACCTAGCAATTCAAAAGCATGCCCAAAAAATGTGCAAGTAGATAAATAGGTACTGCTTCGGCAGGAAGATAAACAGTGTTTCCGTGCGCTGCTCTGGTTTCGGTGTTCCACTGCTCCAGAAGCGGCTTAGCCATGCTGACCACGTGTCCAGGAAAAACTGTCTGCGGACAAACGCTGGCTCCCTCAGCCTGTAAAGCGAGATGAGCGCCGCAACCCCAGAGTCGTCTGTGACTGGACTTAACTGTCAGAGGTCCTTTACCTTTTCTTTTGGAATAAGATAACATTCCGATGCACACATTCAGGTGCAAATTATTCCAGGAGGTATGATGAGACTAAATCATATTGCAATTCACAAAGATCAAATCCCTAAAGTACCATTAAATTAGCAGTATCTAGTGAAAGTAATTCTGTCTGTTATGACTGAGATCCTGTACTCAGAAAAGAACCAAAAACTCCAAAATTGCTATATATTGTATCCTACCTGGTTAAACCAGCTATGCCATGTGATGGCATCTGCATTAATGGCTAACACTTGGTCAGCAGGAGCCTGTGGATCCACCTTCCCAATCTTCACTTTTGACTGATTTGATAACAGTAAACAGTTGATAATATCATATCCAGCTACTAATTTCCCATTCTTGTCAAATGAAATCTTGTCCCCAGCATTGTTGTTAAATGAGGCACCTCGCAGAAAGTGATGCAGCTAGGTTGAAAAATAATGGTTTTAGAAAGCGTGTTCTCCCTGAAATGGGAGCACGTGTTGAGGTGAGGTCTGCCGAGCCATCCCTCTGTTGCCAGGCAGGGGTAAAAAAAGGCTGCCTGGGGCAATGATTGGATGGCTGGTTTGCTGGGGCAAATTGCATGTTGCAATGTGGTGGGTGGGTCCGAAGGCTTTAAATATTGGGGCACTCAGCTTATTGCTTTCTCTTTTGCTGAGTGCATCGGATCACCCCCCGCTCATCCTGAGTTCAGGGTGTTTTGTTTGACCTTGCTATGCCTGTCATGGGGTCGTCTGCCGTTGGGGCAGGAGCCTAGTAGGAATTTTGTGCATATGGCTGATTGGCTGAGCCATTTGGTTTTTGCCTACTACATAGCAAATCGTCACAACTTGTAAGGTTGTGGTTAGGCATTGGTTATAAATTGGTTGGAGGAGGGGTAAGGACCGGCTGGTCTTGCCC